TCACTTTGAGTGATTCTTCCGCACGTATAAAGATGGGTTCCAAACTATAAAATATAGAGATAATTGATTCAGCCAATCTGAATTAGTCCAAAGTTTATAGAGTGAAGGAGCATAGTTTAGAATTTCACTGTCGGTCTTTATTTGTAACGGTAAAGCGATGTCTTAATTCAATATTAACAACAAGATACAGCAATATCCTTGAAACAATTACAGCAAGAACAACATAAAACACAGGTCTAAGTGAGAGATAGATGTGGTAATCTTGATCCAGGTCTCCCGTATCCCATCACAGAATCAGCAAGGCCAATGTCAGAAATTATGTTAAATTCATAAGATGGGCAGCAACTACATATATCCAACTTAACAGAGGTTCTTGCATGACGTGTTCGCCTTACAACTGTTGTCGTGTCTCCGTTAAGGCTCATTATACCAACGCCATGATATATTAGATCCAACTTCAAGCCCCTTCCAATGTCCCTTCATATAAATGCTTCTCCCATCCCATTATAATCAACATCTCCAAACATTAGGAGTAGAGTCTATAAAAACTACGTTCTACTGCCTTGGACTAACCACAAATGCCTGTGCCACCCCAAAACAAACACCATACAATGACGATGCATATGTTCAAATCCAACACATCTTAGTTAATTTGGAGATATATAACCATCTAGACTCATCCAAAAGGTCAGTAATGAAGAAAAGAGTTGGAGCACAGAACGAGTTTATGAATGTTTTAAAGTCCAGAGCCTTCATTTCGGAATAACAGGAACATATATTGGTATCATTCAACCAAGGCAGTTTATGAACACCTTACACAAGATATTAGATTAATTTCTCACCCTCCCAATGTACATCTGGAAGTTCTAATTATCTAAAATATTTGCTAAAAATAGGGGTGTTCAAATTTTCGATTACCCACAAATTCCCACCCTATCCTATCCTACCCGACTCTATTGATCGGCTACCCAAAAGAATCGGGTAGGGCAGCGAAAGATTTTTGGTATTTCGCAAAAAATTGGGTAAGAATACGGAATACCTACAAAATTTTCGTATTCCTATCCTACCCGCATATATGATGTATTGATGTTTATGACTTTTTTATTGTATTTTATTGTAATTGTTTATGTATTATCGAATTTATTGTGTTTCCTTTAGTGTTATTGATTTATTGTGTTAATTAATTAGTGCATATTACTTAATTAAATTGTTAAAAAATTAATAACTAAAAAATATGTGTTCACCCATTTCTTACCTGACTTCCTACCCGATTGTTTTGGACAGAATTCGAGTAAGAATAGTACACTTGATCAGGTAGGGTAGGCCACAAAAAAAATTTCTGTAAAGTATCGGGTAAGAAAATGAAATATCATAATTCCTACCCGTTGGATAGTGTGAACACCGCTAGCTAAAAATAAGGTGCAACACTGTGTGCTGAAGACAAAACATACCACACTAATTGAAATCAACAAATAAATCTAGTCTTCACAAATCTCACATAGCCTACCAATTAAGTACTTTCTGAAATAACAGGAATTGCTTTTGCCCTGCTTCACCAACTCCTCTATGGTGACACTCTGATATAAGAAACAAATTATATAGTGATTCAATCCACATAGGGAAGATTGCACACAACAAAATGCATTTCACAAGTATGATGCTTCAATCAAGGCTTAACAATGCACAAGTAAATCCAACCGTAATGACATAAAAAATATACCAACTGCTGATGGAGCTTCTGATTTTGTTGAATAGCGAAAGCTTTCTCTTCGGTCAATTTAGAAATCATAGACCATGCCTAAAACATGAAAATTTAGTATAGGATTGTTATATAAAACAACGACGACAAAGTAACTAAACAATCAAATGAATGCAAAACAACAACAACAAATTATTGATATAAAGATGTAAATAAATTTTTTATATGAATCCAATCTTCCAAAACGAGATGGTTCACAAGTAACTGATTGTTCCTTTCTGTGTAAAACCCAAAAGCAACTTGTAGTCCAGCACCAATTTGAAGTATAAGTTAGAATTCTCATTTCACCCAATGTCACTTTTTAATGTCAAGATCCGAAGGTAACTCAGCACGCAAGAAAAGTGATACGTACTGGACCTAATATACATGGATCAATAAGACCATCCACTTTATTCAAATAAAACTTCAGTCTCAAAAAGTATAAAGTTCATATTGACCCCTTTTTCTGGTTTCTCTCTTTTTCCTTTTTTTACAGTCATATTAGCTTGAACAAGGTTTACTTATTATAATAACTCTCATCCATCCAATATACATGCACAATGCATCTTCTGTCTTTTCACTTCTATTCTAACATAAAGCACCTATTCTCGAAGTTTTCAATTAGAATGACAGGAATAAATGCCCATCCACATTTCATATACCTAATACCTCCTGGCCAGCTGCTATTGTGCTGAACAAGAACACTCTCACGCCAAGAGGCAAACGGCATAAGGACCAGTCAAGATTGGCATGAATTAAGTTAGTATTCCAATGAATATAAGGCTCAACAATTATGAATACCTTTTACAGCAACATTTTTTTTTTCCTTTGTTTTAAGTGTGATAAGGCAGTCCATGAGACGTGATAACTAATACTTTGTCTAGTTAAATTTAGTATAGGATTGTAAATCAGGCAGTCCAGCACCTCAGAATTGAGCATGGGGATTTGGTTTACGTAAAATCAGAGACAAATACAAGTGCTTCTATAACTAAAAGTTCTACAGGTAAATGTCTCATAAAGCTCCTCCATGGTAACATTAATCTCACATGCATTCCACACACAAATAAATCCTTCTCTTCTCCTTAATGGCCTACAAGTAATTTGTGCTATAAAAAGTTAAGGACTAGCTAGGCCTAACAAGTGCTTATTTCATATAAGTCTTTCAGTCATAACTCGATTAGTGTCTCTGTGTGTATGAAAGGAAAAAATGATTATTCACCTCTGAAGATGAAGGTTTCTTTCTGGGCTCCTCCAAAGATCTTGTTACCTAATATTTCTGAAATCAATGAGCATAAAACTGACAGCAACCCACTTTGTCAGAAAACAAAAAGAAATGTAACGATCACTTACAGCATCATGCAATGTAGCATTTTCCTCAGCTGTGAAAGCCCTGGGAGGAGAACCTTCCTCAGATCCTTCAGGAACTGGTGAAGGAGGATTAGTGGGAGTGTAAACAACCCTTAATTTGAATTCGTCAACAACCTTTCCATCCTCCTTATTGAACTACAAACCAAATTGTCACAATGACAAAGACTCAGTAAACTGCAATCAAACATATTATGGAAAAACAAAAGTTCCGGGCAAAATTAACACACCATTTCCAGGTTTACATCTTTAGCAGTTGCACCATTGGGTGCAATAACACTTTGAAGGAGAAATTTGTCCTTGCACTGCATATCAGAAGGTAACTCTTTCTGAGCTTGCATTGTAACTACCAAAACCCAATAAGCAAAATTAGACAACGATAATCCAAAATCCACCCCCACCCCCAAAAAAAAGACCAATTAAAGTCCAACACATCCCATAGATCAACTTTCACATTTTATTAAAATAACAGGTTTCAAACTCAACAAAATTCAACTGCATAGCTAGAACAAATATTGGAGTTTTACCGGTAACATTGCATGCAGTGCCAGGCTGAACAATCCCGGCGTTGGGCCTGACACAGTACTTCTTGGGGTTGGTAGTTTTAACCTTGTCAATCAAAATGTTCAACAATAAGACAGTAAAAGAAACAATATTATTGATGGACAATCAAAAACTAACATATCAATCAAAACTACCTTGAATGCAATATAATGAGCAGTTTTGTTGGCCAATTGCATAGAACATGAACTCTGCTTCCTCAGTTCAACTTTCACAACACAAGCCAAAAAGATCAGCACCTGAATTGATATACCCATAAAAGAAAACTATCTATTTTGTTTTCGGTGTGAGAAATTGGGGTGGAAAAAAATGAAAATTTTGAATGTTGAGTTCGTTGATCATAAAACCCCAGTATACGAGAACCTCTGTCCAACGATAGCAACATAAAAAACCATAGAATTCCAATTGAAAAACCTATGTCGTTACATTTCCCAGTAATTTTTTCTTTGAAACCAGACAGAAAACAAAAGAATTTCAAAGCAATAAGACTCACAGGGGAACTTGAGTTCTTCTGGTTGAATATTGAGAAAATCACCGGTAATCATGACTCTAATTCAACTGATAATCAACAAGAAAACGTATTTTCGGATGAAATTTGGGGATAAATCAAGACGAATGAATTTAGGGTTTTCTGGGGATTGGACAACGTGGGGTTGACGAAGCAAGGAATTGATTTTCAAATCAGAGATTTAAATGGGAAAAAGATTTTATTACTATTTATTATTCATTTAAATATTTCCAGGCTTAATTATGATTGGATTTATTAGGTTTTTAATTAGAAGTTTGGTCGAGTGTCCTAAGTCAGTAACAAACAACATTAGAGAATGTGCAGGTGAAGGTTAAAAGGGTAACGTAAGATGGATCCAAACACATCCTAATCTGAATTGTCGTAGAATAATCTAATTGGAGTTGACGGTGGTGGAGAAATAAGATCGGAAAAAATATAATTTTTAATTGTAAGATGTTTAATGAAATCGTCGCTGAATTTTTTTTTTTTTTTGTATATTATATGAATGGTCTGATTTTGCAAAAAATATGATTGAAAATTATTCGAGCATCTTAATTTTATTTTATATAGTGCACAAATAGATACTGATGGGATAAATGTCGGATCAGATTTTAATACCTCTAAATACAAAATCACAAACTATGGTGTACCAAATTTGACCTATTGCCTTATTGGTCGAAGAAGCAAAACAGTGTTATGTCGACCAAAATGTGTCCTAAATCATTTGTAATTGTTGAATAAGTGGGTCCATCATTAATTCAACAATTATAAATAATTTGGTGCACATAGTTTTATCACCAGTAATATGATGGCTACAAATAATTTAATTTAGTACACATTTTGGTGCACATAATTTTATGAAAAATTTAGAGGTCGATCCCCCTATATGAACTTAAATTCGCCAAGAAAACTTATTTATTATAAAGTCCGTTTTTTGTCAATTTTACCATATTATCTCTTCCATTTAGAAGTAAATAAAACTAAAAATTAAAAACTTTTAAATTTTAGGAGTTTGACTAACATTAAAAAAATATCTCTCTCATATTTGTCTATATTCATATATAGATTAGAATTATATATATATATATATATATATATATATATATACTAATAATTGTCCGTTCCGAAATTACAAAAAATTGAATTAAATCTTGAAGAATACTACTGTGCCAAAAGACACTTTGCAATCTAAAATAAAATGTCAATTTGAAATATATAGTAATATTCAATATCAATATTTTAAAAAATAACAGTAGTAACATGTTCAACAAAAATAATAACATATTCAATAAAAATAATAACATGTTTAACAAAAACATACTTAATAAAAACAACAACATGCTCAACAAAAAAAGTTGCAATATGGAACATTGAACCCATAACTAGAGGAAAAAGCCTCAAACTTTTCAACATCCTAAAAGGTAATACTCAGCATCCAAAAATGTAACACTGAAAATGTAAAAATATTCTCAATAAAAATAGTAAGATGAAAAAAAAATAGCAACGTTGTCAATTAGAAAAAATAGTAACATAGTCAACAAAAAACGTAGTATCATGAAAACATTGAAAACTATTGAGGATTACTTATCAACAAAATAAAAATAAAATTGACGATCAAACTAATAGCACGTTGAGTAAGTTTTTCAACCTTTTTTTTCAAAAATCAACGACATAAAAGTTCATGATGACCACAACGCTGTATAAGATATGGTAGTTATTGATAATGTTTCAAACCCTACTGATTTTGATGTTATGGACAAAAAAATGATATCTAAAAAAAAAAAATTGTTGTACTGGAGTGATGATCTTCTTCTAATGAGAGAAAGAGAGAGACAGAGAGAAAAAAAAGAGAGAATTTAAATTTGAATTTAAATTTATGAGTGAATTAAGGGATAATAATTTTTAATTTAAGAAATTAATTTAAAATTACTTTCAAGGTCTTTAAGGTTTCTATAATTGAACAAAATAATATTGTTAAGGGCATTTTTAGGATTCAAAAAATATTGAACTTAAGTATTTATTAGTAAGATAAAAAAAAATGACTTATCACAAAATAAATTCTTTTTAGGACTCAAGTCATTATAAGTTTATTTAAGATAACTCAGTTCCAATTTTCACAAAAATGGTTTATTTCACAATGAAGTTGTATTGGGCCTGGCTGAGGTCTCATGCTGAATAAGGCCGAAAGAGAAAGATCGTCAAAAGTCATTTAAAGTGGACCAGGCTTACTGTGGCCCTAAAGGCACGTACTCCTAACGGTTCATTCCTCAGACGAGACCTTTTGTCGGGAACAAGGCAAATCTGACTTTTTAAGTGTGTTAAAATTAATTTTCGATGAAATTGAGAAAATAAACTAAAATCTATGTAAACAAATTTAAAAAAAAAAAAACTATTCAAACTTGGATTAATCTTGATCGTTATTGTATTTTTATAAGTTGAGAATTGAACTTTTTAACTATAATATTAAATAGATGCATGTGTGTGTATTTTATATTTATTTTTATTTGGCATTAACATTGTTCCATCAATGAGTATCTAGTTATTAATAAAGTTGATATGCTCGAGTGTTTATTAAATTGTCCATTGGTAATTCCAACTATAAACAATCGATTTTATATCAGCCTTACAACAATTCTTATTCATAATTAGGGGTGTCAATTGTGTTGTGTCATGTCACTTTCGGCACGTGTCATATTTGTGTTGATATTCGTGTCAATAAAAAATATTTAATTTTGTAATAACTCATATAATTTTATTTAAAAAATTATAAAAAAAAAATTTCTTGTCTACATTATTCATTAAATACTTATTTTTTTATCTACAGTATTTGTTAATCATGTTATTCGTGTCTACCTTAATTTAACCCATTTATTATTCCTATAAATTAATCATGTCATTTTTGAGTTTTTTTGTTATGTGGGGCTCGTATTAATACATAAAATTGAGTTATAGGGGTGTTCAGTGTTGCGCTGACTACTCCTTCGAACTTAGCAATTAATTATCGTGGCTTAAGCTAATCCAAAACATGTTCCCAAATGGACAAAGGTGGTGATGTAGAACGAGAATTAACAATTATTTTATTTTATTTTTATTTGTTTATTACTTTGTTTGGGTGAGACTTCAATTAGGAATTTTCTAGAATATTTAGTTGGTTAAACCATATATATTTTTCTAATTCATTAGACATGTGTTTTATTGTTTTAGGTAACTTTTTTAAAATTAGGGATTTGTTTCTATTTTGGAAAATTTAGGATTTTAGTTTTTTCTATAAATTGTCATATGTATTATAATTCTACGAAGTTAATTGAATAATACACATGTTTCAGAGATATTTTCTTGTTACCCTCTATGTGGATTCAGAGTATTTGTTCTATACACTTAGAATCGTAATGTTTTTTTGTGTCTCTATATTCTGTTGCGTTAGGTGGCTAGTCCGTTTGGTACGATGAAAAAGTGGAAGAATGGAAAGTTGGAAGAATAAATAAAATATCATGTTTGGTAAGGAATGAAAGTAGGATGTTTGGTAAGGAATGAAAGTAGGATGAATGAAAAAATTGATGAATTAACTTTCCTTCTAACTTAGCAAAATCAATCCCTTTAAAATCGGAAGGAAAGTAGATAAAAATTTAATTATTTGTGTTGAGATGTATCTTATTTGTCTATATATCTTTTTATATCTATATAATAAAACAGAAGTGTGTTTGAATTTTATTCCAGTCATATTTTCTCCCTCAAAACCATCACCAATCACTTATCTCACCCATCATCCTTTTGTCAGACTCAAACGTCAAATCATATCACTCATTTCTATCACATATTTAATCATTTATATATTTTCTCCATAAAAATATCACATCACTCATTTCTATCATATATTTAATCATTTAATATTTGATTAATTTATAATTAATATATTTTAAAAAAATTTAATATAAGGGAATCAATTTTTTGGAGGCTTGAATTTTATATTTTATCGTGTCTTCATGCACGGGTTATGACTAGTATACATATATTATGTATAGATTAATTTCATATATATATATATATATATATATATATATATATATATATATATATATATATATATATATATATATATAAAATATTAAAAATGTAAAAATAAAATATAAAAATTTTAAATTAAAAAAAAAAAATTTTTTCCATCTTAACTAAGGGTGAAAATTTTCGACTCAACACAATGACACTACTCGAACTCGATACGAAAATAAACAGGTCAACTAGCAACTTGATATGACACAATTAATTAAATAAGTTAAGTTAGGTTTGATTAATATTTGACATAAACTCATAATGACTCAACACGAATCTGACACAACATGACTTAATTGTCACCCCTAACCTTAGTTAGCACAAAAAAAAAATAGTCATTTTTATTTTTCATCCATCCAACCAAACGCAAAAGAAGAAAAATGTATTCTTCTTATTTTTATTCTTGAAGGATAAAAAGTGTATTCCTCCTACTTTTCATCCATCTTACTTTTCATCCTCCATACCAAATGGAACATTAGAAAGTATGAGAAGGAATTGAATCTGAAACCTTTAAATTATCGAAAGAAAAACCCAATCAGTGAATTAGCCCTAAAAATTACACCATCCATAATGATACATAAAACGGAATGATAACTGAGAAGTCATATGTTTGATGGTCAACATGTCCACACAAGGGTTCAAATTCGTTAATCTTAGTGAGCCAAATTTGAAAGCTATCAAGCAAGAAAATCTCAGTAGTAAATTCCAAAGTTATATGAATGATTTAGTGGTACACACACACAGTGACACAGTGGTCCTGAATCAGTAAAATAGAAACAAGACAAAAATGGTAGAGATGCAAAGGTTGCAGTGCTTCCTTGTATAAAATTTGCAGACCTCTCTGAGTTGTTTTAAGGACTGTCTTAGCATTTTGTGGGTAGGGGGGAACAGTTTTAAACAGGTGGTCATAAAAAGAAACAGCTAAAAAGCACTACAGTTCCTGAAACGTGGCAGAACCCCCTCCCATTAAATTCCAAAT